TCGACTGTCAATCAAACTTGTAGCTTTTTTAAAATTGAAGCTTAGATGCTTATTTTGTTATCTTATGATAACCTTTTTTAATACTACTTACTTAGATACTTAGATGGCCTGTCTTCACTTGTCGTGCAGGCCACAGCATTGTTTCCATCCGTTTCTGTCTCTCGCTAGCGTCACCACGATGTTTGGTATTGAATAGCGGCGGCGACGTTTGCGAGATCCAGATCCATTACTCGTTACCAGCTAAGAATTCAGCTGGTGCATCCGTGCAACGAAGAGGTCAGCCTATGTGGTCGGTGGCCTCCCTCGAGGACATTTTGCTTCGCGAGGAATCCATTCCAGAGTTCTTAGTGTCCATTCGTCTGTCCTTCTCGTTACATGATCAAGCCCATCGATGCTTTGCCTTAGAGACGTATTTCGCTGGATCGCACGAGGTATTGATCTCAAATTTGAACTGCGAAGTCCGACGAGATGTCGAGTTGTACTTCAGAAAACGTGTCCAGCGATCTGTGGGTTGTTCAGAGAACCTTTGACGTAGCCACAGTGTCAGGTCACGTGTCTGCTGCGTAGCAGATCATGTTCATCAAACGCCCGAGATATACGTAAGAAGACGTCTCCGCGATAGGAGAGCCTTCCAATTCAATTACCTGATCCTCACAAAAATCGTTCTTCCTAACTCTTCCTCCGGTTGATTCGCCTATCCGCTTTTCTACTTCGTTTAGTTCCTTCAACATGGTCTCCTTCAGTGATATTTCTCGTGAAGGGAACAATGTCGTCTGCAAAACGAAGGTTAGAGAGGGATCTCCCTCAACTCGTATACCTCTGTTGTCCCAATCCAGTGGTTTTATCACCCATTGCAGCGCGGCGGTAAATACCTTTGGCGATACGGTGTCGAATCCCCTTCGAGATTTGTTAAGGTGACCACGAAAAAGCTGTACTGTTGTAGAGCAGTTCTTGTAACAGTCGGTCAATGTCCTCGCGTAAGATGAGTCCACTCCTTGGTCGACAAGTGCTGATAGTATGG